TTCTCTCTTTTTTGCAGACCTTACACCACAAAGACGAATGTTAATGACAAGTCATGTTTTGATGACTGAACAGGGTTACTTTGAAACAAACTAACACTTCTTTTTCAGAATAGACTCATCTATAAATGCTACACTGACGTATGTGTCATGAAAAGTGTATTTTACAACAAAAACACAGAGATTCCCACCACTAAGAGCTCGACTAACAAGTGCCTCATTGAGAGATACATGAACACATTTTTCAGAGACTGTGGTATCTACATATGGATTGTGTTTGTCTGTTGCGGCAAAACCCAGTGATAGGGCAGGCAGATGAACTGGAGACCACTGTAGGTCCTCAGTGAGGCACAGGGGCTTCTGATTCGGCACAGGAAACAAAGCAGTCCAAGAAGGCTCCACCCATTTAGGACACAGGCCCCGCCCACTAACACTGGAATGTGACCAACCATGCAAATAAATGAAAGCAAAACACATCAGATGAGATCATGCAAAGCATCCATGTGCCATCTCTGCGGCGAGAGTTTATCAGCATCTCGGTTGAATCAAATCGCCTGCTTTATTTGTCCACCATAGTTCAATTTCATTTAACGCTGTCCGCACAACTGGAGAGCATGATGTCCTTGTTAACTCTGAGAATGATTCTGTACAGCTTTATTGGCATTTGATGGTAAAATGGTCCCACGTAAAATTTATTTTTATTTATCCGGGATCGCATTATGATTCATAATAAATTTATAATAGTTATAACTGTAGTAACTTTGATTACATAAAACTGATAATTTACCCCAAAATCTAAATTTTATTTTAACTTATTCACCATCATGTTGCTCCAAACCCGAACTTTTGTTTATTTTTGAAACATAAATAAAAATGTTTTTAATTTCTGGCATCATTTTAATCCATCCACACAACCAAAACTTTTTTGCATAAAAAAAATACAAAATGACATCATACATGCAATCCATATGATTACATAATCCATTTTTATCAGAAGATATTAATTAAACCACTTATTTTATATGGATTTCTTTGTGTAACTTTTTGATGCACAAACGTTCTGGTTATGTGGACTTTCAATGGATGAACAAAAATTAGAATATAAAAAATATCTTAATATGTGCTCTGAAGATGAAAGAAAGTCACTCAGAAATTGCTAGTAAATTCCATAAATATTTACAAAGAAACATTCAATTAAACATATAAATTTGAAGTAGAAAGACTGAAATAGTATTTTCTTGTAAAACACACTCCAGTAATGTCTGTTTTATAAAAAAATTAAATAATTTTTACAGTATAGGCTTGGAACGACACAAGGCTCTTTGGCTATTAAAATTAACATTATTTTCCTTTTTAACATGGTGACATCAGCCATTTACGTATTCTTTTCAAATCACTTTGATGAAATATTACGAAGACATTTTCTTTAGAATAACACTGACAAATCACAGTAATGCATATTATGAAAGTAAACGGTCAATTTGATGTCATGTTGACTTTAAGGATCCTGTATGGGAAAATATATTCCATACTTACAGTAACAAACTGACAGCATTCAGAAGAAGAGAAAAACAATATGACAAATAAGTAAGTGCATGGCAATAATACTATGTAGCCTTGAAGTTCCATTCATTCTTGTCATCAGTCAACGTGGTCTCATGATAATTCGTATGTATTTTACGTAACATGTGGTTCTATAAAACGTACATTTACTTACGTTTTTACAGGCACGAAAGCATACAATACTGACGTATTTTCAGCATTTAAACGTACAAAACAGATGTATTGACGACACCTAAAAATTAATCCTTATGAATATTGAAA